TTACCGGCGGGAGGAGCTCAGAGTTAATTGCTTTTATTAAATTAACTTTTCACTTGTAATTTTTGGGAAAGCTCTCCTGCACCACCTCACGTAAACTGGAGATTGGCAGGTCTATGCTGCCCTCTGCTGGACAACACTGAAATACAATTCATCACTTTGTTTTCAGTGCTGTAATTGGATCCAACTGGTTGCATCACAACATTGTCAGATAGATGGATAGCAGATTGCAGTGTATTTCTATTTAGTTCATTTTATTTATTTAGTGCCAATTCATAACAAACGTATCTCATTGCTCTGTTCATATAGAGCAGGTCTAGACCGTACTCTTTGTAATATTTACAAAGACCCACAACTCCCACCGTGAGCAAGCCCTTGGCAACAATAGCAAAGAAAAATGGGTAGAAACCTTGAGCAGAATCTAGACTCAGGGTGGGCAGCGATCTGCCTGAGTTAGCAAATTGTGAATAGTGCATTTGTAGAAATTGTCATTTGTAAAAAAAAAACTTCTGAAAACAAATGGGAAACAATCTACAAATAGAATATGACCCTCGTGTGCAGACAAATCATTTTGCATTCAAATCCTGGTTTAGTACAAGTCAGTGATTTTTATTTGTGGATTATGGTGAGTTTGATTTGAATCTATTTGTAGATAATTTTATCTTCACAAATTGTAATATATAGTTTTGACTCGTACTACATTGTGCATTTACAGTGATATTGACATCAATTTACTCCCCATTACACATTGTAAGTTCTCTTGATTACAGTCACTTATTTATTCCAGGAATGCACAAAAATGCACATCTTGTTTTAGGGCATTTACTTGTTTGGAAAGGTTCAAGGTCAGACTCGTAACCTATGTTGTCGCTGTCCTGGTTTCTTCAAGTCTTTTGAGACACACTTTAATGTGATAATCCAAGCTTAACACTGGTAAAAAGCATTGTGAATGGGTCCCCACAGAGACCTTGTTGAGATAATAGAAACCTGTTGTACAGTGTAGTGTTGTGACTGACTGACTTAAAAGCTAATGGCCTCGATTTCTTCTCTTCGCTCTTCTCCTTGTCGCTCTCACATTTTTTCCTAATAGCAGGTCACTGGTGTGGGAGGGGAAAGGAAGCAATTAAGTGACGGACTAGATGAGCTTGAAAGGATTTGTGGACCAGGGATTTCCCCCTAAGGGACAGATGTTTAAAGGCACTGCAATAATAGCGATGGTGTTCAGCACCTCTGGGTGTGTACTTGTTGGTTTGTGTCTGTGTTTATTTATTTCTTCATCCATCTTTTTGTGATGGTTTGTTTGTTTTGTACTTTATTACCTTGTGTTGTGGGTTTTTTTTGATTGTTAAATTCTGAAAAGAGGCATGATATCCACTTGAAGGACTTTTGTATTGTTATTCTTACACTCCACAATTCAAAATATTTGCTACAGAAAGCAATTAAGTGATTGGGCAGCACCATAGATGAAGCTTTCGATCACTGCCTCTAGTTTGAGAGAGCGCTACAGCACTCGGTTGGCAATCACCACACCACTGTAATCAAAATCAGAATCTGTTCCAGCCTGAGCAGAAAATAAAGCAACTCAACCAAACATGTTCTCACTTCAATGTTTTTATTTATCGCGCAACATAAAACAATATTGTGGGGTCTTTACCACATACACTATGTATTCACATAATACACCATACAACTACAAAGAGAGAGAGACTGAACAAAAACACTTTTTTTTTTTTTACATACTGCATCCTTGACATGAAATAAAGAACCAAGAACAATCCTAAAACTCAAAAAGGAATGTAGCTGCCAGTTGTGTAGGTTCATTTATATTTTTAGTATGGGCCAGGGTCCAAGTCTCGATCCCAAAATGTGGAGAGATGTGTTCATTAAATTAGGTGTTCAATAGACTTCTAAAAGTGGGCCATACACAGCGAGATGCGTATGTTTATCTATGTTTGCGTGTGCGAGAAAGACAAAATATACAAGGTGTGAAGAGAAAGAGGGGCAAAGGAAGTGCATGACGAGGGAGAGGAAGAGGGAGGCAGTACACAATTGTTATTCTTGTTCAAATATCTTAGCATTCAGTTACCATGAACATGTACAACATACTCACAAGATCATTTCAATAGCCTTTGGTACTTGCGCTGTACCAAATGAGAAACCCAAATAACAGTCTTCATATAATATGATTCTATATCTCATCCTATTTTAAATGAGTTCAAGTACAATGTGGAATGAATATTAATAATCAACTGTCTCAGTGCCCCCCTTGCCCTCAAAAGAGATGTAAATTTGTAGCGTTGTAACAAAAGACTTTTCATAAAGTCAGCACCAGGGCAGCTTCCCATCCTGTGAAACTGCTTGAACCAGAAGTATAGTTCTCTTAACATTCGAAGAGCTCAGAAAAATATTTGTGGTAATCATTTATCCCTCACATTTGTTAATTTTTTTTTTTTAACACAGTGAATTTTTAAGGTGTAGCATCATAGCACCAGCTGACTGACCCCCTATCTCAGGCACAAGCTTGGAGGAGGCGCCTCTCATGAGAACCATCTACCAAACTCGTGAGACATTTAGAAATTTACAAAGTCATTAAGATAACATGTACACTGTATCCTCAGCACCCATTGGTAGGCAAGTATGTGTGTGTGTGTAATGTGGGCCATGCATTATGGTTACAAAGTCAAATGGGTTCTGTTCCTGTACCAGTCCCAGCCCATGCACCAGTCGAACGACTGATGTGTGTCATATTTTTAATTATCACAAACTAAACACCAGGGTTTTCCACAGGGCATCATGATTATTATGCCAAGTGCGTACTTACTATTATGAGAACTAGATTAGATAATAATGATAGGTACATCTAAATAAGCAGGGAGGCAGTTTCTTACCTGATAGTCTAACACAACTGACAAAGATTGCTGGGCTAAAACTCGCTAAAACAACGCCCACTGATTCACCTCACACTGGCTCAGCAACTACCAGTACGTTACTAAACATCCCCCCCCCCCACCCTCTTGGATGTGGTCCTGCACATGATAGGTGGTGAATCTATCAAAGGCAACTCTACTGATATCAAAGAAATGGTTCAACATTTTGGGAAATAAGCTTAATCAGTTTTTTGTTAAGACATAGGTGAGATTACCATCACTCATGT